TGCTTTTAAAGGCAAATGGAGAAGGGAGGTTTTTACATCCTCCAATCAGCTTAAAGGTTAGGAGAACATGCATCCTGTCTCAATGCCTAGCTATTGCAATCACGCAGTGTTCATGAGCGAGGAAGCATGTATTTGGCCAATAAGGGCTAAGGCAAGGTTCCCGCAGACACTCCCACCCTACTTCCTCCCAGCGCCATCTTAGGCTGCCTCCTGAATACACCCTTGTGGGCCCATAATGGAGCCGCTTGTAATGTCACTTAAGGTGGCATTCGTTTTTAAGGCCTGACATTTCCACTCTGCTCGTATTGCTTTCATTGTAATGATGGTCATGTGAGAGCCCAGTATTGACAGTGCAGAGTGGAACCCATGCTGCCTATGTTCAGACCTCAGCTATTAGCCAAGAACGTTGGGCAAGTTGCCTGTACTGAGTGTCAGTTTCCTCATCTATGGAGGATCAACATACCTATGTTCAAGGACCACAGTGAATGTTAAATGAAGTAATGTAAAATAATGTCTCATACAGAATAATTATAAAAGATTTTTCATTGTCATTTCATTCTCTCTATTTTCTTCAAAGACTATTTTAGCTCATGTTTTCTGCTCAGGTACTTGCTTCTGGAATTTATTTGGCTGTACCATGCGAAGTAGGATTATCTTTATTTCTAGTCATATGGTGAGCTCTTGTCCCAGGCTTTTTCTACAGCTCTGAAAGGCCATCATCTTATTTCTTTGGTTCTTGCACGTTCATATGCCCATTGCTGTGTGGTCTGCTGGTCTGTACCAAAACCAAAATTACTTAATTATTGTTATTTTATCATGTATTTGCACTTGACAGTGCAGGTTTTCTCATCACTCTTTTTTTTTTTTTTACTTTTCTCAACTATTCTTTCTTATAAGAATGAAACTTAGATTCATTTTGCCAGCTCCTACCAGAAAAAAAGCAAAAAATTTCTTGGAGATATTAACTAAAATTACATTCAATTGTAGATTCAGTTAGAAATAACCGATATTCTTAAGTATCAGTTTAAGGTATTTGGATGATTTCTCATCCAAAAACAAGGTTTGTTCCTCCAGTGTGTTTGTCAGAAAAATTCTGAGTTTATTTCAGAAGTCCTACACATTCTTATTAAGTTTATTCCTTGGATTTCTGTTGTTTTTCTTCCTAGTATTTTTTGTGACATTTATTAATTGGTTATTACTGATAGAAGGAAATCAATATCTTTTTGTGTATATGTATTTTTTATAACTGACTCACTAAATTCTCTTTCCCTCCCTGCCCCCCTTTCTTCTTTTTTACAAAACTTTGTTCAGTTGATTTTCTTGGGTTTTCTAGGTAGACAATTCTCTTTAATAAGAACAGTTTTGTGTCATTTTCCAACATTTATACTTTGTTTTTTTTTTTTTACTTTCTTATTGCATTGGCTTCCAACACAACACTGAATAATAAAGTGAGATCAGCACTCTTTGCCTTTTTTTTTTTTTTTTTTTTTTTTTTTTGTAATTTAATGAGCATTCTTCTAATGCAGGAGTTTTTAACCAGGGTAAGGTCTATGAATGGATTCCCTGTATTTATGGACATGATTTCTGTATAGGTGTATCTGTGCTATTTGTGTCAGGTGAAATTGTCCATGTTCTTAAAAGCATCCATAACCCACAAAGATAAGACCAATATTTTAGTTTTTGTATAAAATATGATATTAGCTGTTAATTTGAAATTTATATCCTTTATAATGTTAGTTCTTCTCCTAAGTTTCTTATGAGGTTTGGCCTTGTCTGTTGGGTTTGGGGTTTTTTTTGTTCTTAATTAGAAATGGATGTTTGGGGCATCTACTAAAACAATTGCATGGTTTTTTCTTTTTATGTTAATGTGACTTACATTAACATATTTCCTACTGTTTGCTATATCATTGGATCTTTAATTAACTTCATCTTAGTTTTGGTATAGTGGTCCTTAATATTTACAGCATTTTATTTTCTTAGTTAAGATTTTTGTAGCTATATTCAAAAGTGAGATTTATCTGAAGCGTTAAATTTAGGGATTTCTCTCATCAAGTTTTGGTCTCACGTTGTGCCAGATTTAAAAATGAATTAGACAGAAGTTGGGGTTTTTTTTATGTTCTGAAACAGGTAAAATAGAAGTGTTTGTTCTTGAAGGTGTGAAAGAACTCACCCACGTACTGCCTGGGCTAGAGTCTTTGGCAACAAGTTTCCTTCCAGTGTTTCCATTCTTCCAGGACAGAGTCCAGCCAGTTCCTCACCCCTTCCTGAGACCTTTCACAGAAAATGGCCTTTCATGTTAGCGTAGAGCTGCACTTGGTGTGCTCTTTAAAACAAACAACAAAAACCTTCCTCATCTATCATGATATCATTTTACTCGTTATTAAATTTGTGTATTTCTATGTTTGTGCTTTTTTATTCTTGATTAGACTTGCTAAAAAAAATTCTATTCTATTGGCTTTTTCAAAGAACCAGCTCTTAGATATATTTATTATTCTACTATGGGTATTTATTATTTTCTCCATCTTGCTTTACTGAGATGTGTTAGTTTTTTTAATCTCTAATTTCTTCAACTGCATGCCTAATTCATATACACTAATTTCTTATTTAACAACATAAAGCAGCTAAGGCTTTATATTTTCTCTGTGTATGGCTTTGGCCCTTTCATATTTGTCTTTATGTGTAATATTCCCATTGTCACTACATACTACATAGTTTTTGCAAGAGAGAGTTTTTAAATTTCCAGGTGCTTTAATTTTTTTCTGTCTTGTTAGTGACTTCTTTTACATTATGGCTCAGGGAATTTGATCTGCACAGTTAAAATTTTTTTTAAAAAATTAATCAAAGCTCTCATGTGGCTTACTCTGGTATTAAATTTTGTAAAAATTTTAAAATAATGTATATTCCCACATGCTTATTGCAGCTCTAATTACAATAGCCAAGAGTTGGAACGGCCGGCCCGGTGGCGCACTGGATGCCTGGGTCCACCCAGAATCTTCAGAATCAGGATCTCTGGGCAATGGGCCCCTGGAATCTCTGCTTTTTAAAAAAGTTACCCAACTTACTCAGATGGTAAGCAAGTCTGCAGACATATGAGTCAGTGCTTCTCAAACTTTAATGTGTATATAAATTACTGGGGTATCTTGTTAAAATGCAGATTCTGATTCAGTAGTTCTGAGGTAGGTTCAATATTCTGTATTTCTAACAGGCTCTCTTGTGCTTCTGGTGTTCGGCAGACCACACCATGAGTAGTGGCAGCGGCGCTCCCGCCGAGGGTTCGGATCCCACATACAGACCGGTTCCCGCTCACTGGCTGAGCGAGGCGCGGGAGCAACGCCGAGGGTTGCGATCCCGTTGCCGGTCCCCAGTCCGGTACGGGGGCAACACTGAGGGTTGCGATCCGTTGCCGGACATGGAAAAAGACAAAAAGACAAAAAAAAATAATAATAATAATAATGTATATTCCCTACCTGTAAATTTAAAAGACATAGATACAAATAAAATACATGTGTGTGTTTTATGCATGTTTTTCAAATCCTTTTTGTATGGCCCTGGGCAGTCCTGATGGACATTTGCACAAAGTGGACAGTGTGCTCAGGCCAACTCTGATTACTTCTTTGAACTGTGTGTTTTGAACCTAGTACTTGTGCCTTTCAGCCTGCTCTGGCAGCCAGTACAGCAGGCCAGCTCTGGGCCTGCCCTGACAGCCTCTCTGAGCCAACACAGGCCAAACCACAGGACACCAGGGGGGATGCTCAAGGGGGAGGGGGCAGATCCATTTGCTCCAGGGACTTGACTCTGCTTTCCACCAAACCTACTTTCTACTAGTACCTAGTAGAGTCCTCCCTCAATCCTTATCAGAGTCCCTTTTAAAGGGGAGTAAGCCAGGCCAGAGGGAAAGTGGCATGCCCAGGGTCACATGCTGGGACTCCTGAGTGAAGCTGGGGGTCTTTTGCTCCAGGGCTGACCTGGGCAGGGGAGGGATGCTGGTCACTAGTGTTTCGATTCCAGGCATATGTGCCTGTCTACCTGCTGCACCAGGGCTCCAAGGACAGGGAAGGACCTTGAAAGTCTGAATACCACAACTGAGCCCACTAAACACACCCACGATAGGTGTGCAGCCCCACCCGGGGTGCAGGAGAGGGCACAGCCCCCCAGCCAGGTGCTGGTGGCAACCTGTGCCAGGTGCAGGCCCCAGCTTCCTTGAGGAGTGAAGGGCAGTGCCCCCAAGCCTGATGACCCACCATGTGCGCCTGCCATCATGGAAGAAGGGTTAGAGGACCAGGCGGGGGTAACGATGCATATAGTGGGAGTGATGTCTGCAGCGGCCCCTCCCCCCTGTTGCAGGACTTCAGGGTGCACAGGCACTGCCAAGATGCTCTGGGGTCCCTTCTCTGCGCTCCTGCTCTGGGGGCTCTTGGGGGGCCTCCACGCCCAGCAGCAGCAGATCATCTCACCCGGCACCTCTGAGAGAAACAACAACTGCCCAGGTACTCACATGTGGGCCAGGGCTGATCAGACCACTGCCTGCCCGGGGCTCCCCTCATGGCCCCTCGCTGCAGCAGGCACATGACAATCCCATGTCCCCCCAGAGAAGGCCGACTGCCCTGTCAACGTGTACTTTGTGCTGGACACCTCAGAGAGCGTCACCATGCAGTCCCCCACGGACAGCCTGCTCTACCACATGCAGCAGTTTGTGCCGCAGTTCATCAGCCAGCTGCAGGACGAGTTCTACCTGGACCAGGTGGCCCTGAGCTGGCGCTACGGCGGCCTGCACTTCTCTGACCAGGTGGAGGTGTTCAGCCCGCCGGGCAGCGACAGGGCCTCCTTCATCAAGAGCCTGCAGAGCATCCGCTCCTTCCGCCGGGGCACGTTCACTGACTGCGCCCTGGCCAACATGACGCAGGAGGTCCGGCAGCATGTGGGCAAGGGCGTGGTCAACTTCGCCGTGGTCATCACAGATGGCCACGTCACAGGCAGCCCCTGTGGGGGCATCAAGCTGCAAGCCGAGCGGGCCCGGGAGGAGGGCATCCGGCTCTTCGCCGTGGCCCCCAACCGGAACCTGGATGAGCAGGGCCTGCGGGACATCGCCAACACGCCACACGAGCTCTACCGCAGCAACTATGCCACGATGCGGCCCGACTCTACCGAGATCGACCAGGACACCATCAACCGAATCATTAGGGTCATGGTGAGCCCTGGGCACGGGGGACCAGAGCCAGCGCCCACTCACTGGCCAACCACTCCAGGCCTCAGTTTACCCCCCTGAGGGAGGAGACTGAAGGAGTTGAGGCCAGGCAGGTCCCATCCACCCAGGTACCCTGTGACCCCCTCCCAGACTCCAGGTATAACTGTGCCGGAGCTCAAGACTTGTGACTAACCCGGGTTTCTCTGTGTCTTTTCTGCAGAAACACGAAGCCTATGGAGAGGTGAGTGGCCCTTCCCATTCCTGCCACTCTGGCCAGAGCTGCCCTCTGGGCCTCTGAGGCGGGCCCAGCAGAGGTGATCGCACCAGCCACCAGCTCCTGGCACTCACTCCCCAGGCGGAGTGGACAAGAGGAGCAGCTTGATCCATTGAGTTTGGACCATGGGCTCCCAGCCAAAGCCAGGCCATTTAAACCCCCTGGGGGTCAATGTTAGGGTCATCCGCCAGCACACACGAAGTGAAGAGGTTGAGGGTCATGCCTCCAGGCTGGTGGGTCTGTCAACCCAGGACTCGCCACCCAAGCGCAGCTGAGCCAGGTCAAGAGGAGAAAGCAGGCAGCTGGTGGTATGCCCAGCTCAGGGACCACAGCCTCAGGGTCCTTGACATCCCCATGTCCCTGCATGTCGCCAGCTCCAGCTCCCAGGAAAGAAGAGCAGGCATCTGAGCTCTCTACCCTGGAGGCTCCCTTCCTTAATTCCAGCTCCCAGGAAAGAAGAGCAGGCATCTGAGCTCTCTACCCTGGAGGCTCCCTTCCTTAGAACAGCTGCTCACAAGTATGGTGGTTTGATCCGTGTATACAGATGGTGCCTAGTCAGTGTCCATGACTTGTTTGTCCTTTTTACTATTTGTCTTTGCTTAGCACAGTCTCGATTTTCCAAAACTTGAGGAGAACGCCTGACATAACCAAACTCCCCAGCTTATCCCCGGTGGGTGTGGGGCCTCCAAACACCTAGTGTGTCTGCCCCCTTGTCCCAGCCCTGCTGGTCCCCGCAAGCATTGCAGGGCTCCCTTTCTTCTCTCTGAGAGTCAGGGGCTACCTGTGTCCTGACCCTTGCCCCACCACCTGGGGGCTTTTCCTGCCATCTGACCTGAGGTCTCTCTGCTTTCTCGTTTCAGTGCTATAAGGTGAGCTGCCTGGAGATTCCCGGGCCTCCCGGCCCCAAGGGCTACCGCGGACAGAAGGTAAGATGCCCAGACAGCCCCGACCTCTCTTTGAACTCTGCATTTAAGGCCAGCTGTGCCTCAGATGGTCTGTGAACTTCTGACCCTGGAGAAACTAAGATTCAGTTTTTGTCCACTTCCTTTGAAATGGCATTTTGGAAAAGTAGAAACGGTTTTTAAATTACTAAGATATGCCATTAAAACATTCTTGTAAACAAACACACTCAAATAAAACATGAGATGCATTACTGTCAATAATATGATTGCTAATCAATACAAAGCACCATTTTTGTAGTTCATTAAGTACATTTTAGGAAATCTGATTTGAATGGTAATACGTTTTCCTAACAACAGAGACACGTAAAATAAAATCCTTCCAAAACTCACTGCCAGCGTATCTGAAGCTCCAGTAGTTCATGTCTGTCAAAAATTATAAAGAAAGGCAAAGGAGGGGAAAGAAACTTCTAAGGAGATGAGACAAGGAATTTAAAATACTGTTACAGAGGATGTTGTTACTAAGTAGCTTCATGTTTTCTTTCTTAATTGAATGAGAACTACCCAGACCCGTGTGTACCTGGATGCGCTATCTCCAGGACGAGACATCTCCAAGGCCTCTGGCCAGACCCTTCCCCTCCTGCTTTGGCTCCTCTCCGTCCTCGCAGCAGTGCCCACCCTGCCACAACTGAGAATGAATTTGCCACTGGGACAGCCTTGGCTGCTCACAAAAGTGCAGTGACCCCATCCTGGGGATGGGGGCCGCTGGAAGCTGCCATAGGAGTCACCGTGGTTGGAGTCTGGGGGCAGCAAGGGTAGCAGTGACCGCAGTGGACACCAAGATGCAAAGGGGACCCCAGAACAGGGCACAGTGTGACCTTCTAGAAGCTTCTGACCCCACTTTCCTCTCTCCTCTGATCTCTCAATTATTCCCCTTTCCTCTGCCCATTTGCATTTAAATTGGAAGCATATTATTAAATAGACACACTTATTTAATAAAATTCTACCTTACAAAGTTAAAGTTTTAATTCCAAGGGAGTGTAACTTTTTTATGGATTTCTGAAGCCCTGATCTGTCAAAAGTTACTCAGATTCCCCCCTCCTGGGACTAGAGGAATTAATGTCCCAGTGAAAGTGACCCAGGCATTTGTGGAGAACAGAGCCCCATGTCAGCCGTGGTCATAGCCACTGGGTGTGGAAGGGAACCCCCTGCCGGTTGCCCCCACCCCCAGGGGGCTGCTCTGGCCCTGTTTGCAGGCAGCTTCGTGGAAAGCTGTCCATTGGGGCTCAGAGAAACAGGATCGGGACAAGCCTGGTCTGATGGGGGCCAGGCCCTCAGGGGCAGCTGTCCCAGCTCTGAGATGTCTGCACCTGGCAGAAGCAGCCTTCCCTGTGCCACTCTGACAGGACCTGTGATAGAGTCTCCGTGACCCACCACCCCACCCTGCCTTTTTTGGTTTACCTTTTTCTCTGTTGTCTGCTTTTAGGGTGCCAAGGGCAACATGGGTGAGCCAGGAGAGCCTGGACAGAAGGGCAGACAGGTGTGTGTCCCCCCACTCCCCACCCCCCAACCCATCTGTTGGCCCCATGCCCAGGGCAGGTTCACATTATGGCCCCTTATTTTCTTCCACAGGGAGACCCAGGCATCGAAGGCCCCATCGGATTCCCAGGACCCAAAGTGAGTTGGCGGCTGGGGGGTACTGGGGACAAGCCCAGGGCTTCTGGACTTTGGGGGAGGCTGGTGCGGGACCCAGTGCTGTCTGGGGCAGGCCCCTCACCCCCACCCTCCCCTGCCCCTGCTACCAAAGAAGAAAAGCATCCCAACAGTCTGAAGGTCACCTCAAAACCCAGCCTCCGGCCTGACCCCACATCCAGCCTCCTCCACCAAGCTCTTTGTTTAGAATCCACATGCCATTTCCAGTCGCTGGACAGAGCCCCCCATATGCCCTCTCAGCCTGCAGGGTCCCGGAGGGTCGTTCCCTGTTTCTCAGTTCAAGACCCACCATGATGCCCTGTTCTCTCCCACATGCCATTTCCAGTCGCTGGACAGAGCCCCCCATATGCCCTCTCAGCCTGCAGGGTCCTGGAGGGTCGTTCCCTGTTTCTCAGTTCAAGACCCACCATGATGCCCTGTTCTCTCCTTCTGCCCTAGGGTGTCCCTGGCTTCAAAGGAGAAAAGGTAAGGTCCTGATTGTGAACCTCCTGGACCCAGGCTCATCCCAGCGCATCTGTAAGAAGCCTGTCAGTCACTCCTGGCAGGGACAGACCTGGGCTTCTGTCAGTGGTGGTTTTGTTCTGGGGGTTCTTCAGGACTTGTGTTTGGGCCAAGGGCTTTGACTTGCACCCCAGACACAATGATGTCCGTGATGCCAAGAGACTCAGTCTAACTGGCCTTGCTTTCCTCCTGCACAGGGTGAATTTGGAGCTGATGGACGGAAGGTGAGCCGGGCTGGGCGGGAGGGCACCCCACCTTTCTGCTGCTTGGAGGGGACAGAATGGGCGCTAACTGAGTCTTTCTCTCCTCTCTCTCCAGGGGGCCTCTGGCTTGGCTGGCAAGAACGGAACCGATGGACAGAAGGTAGAGTGAGCCTCCGTCCCATCACCAGGCCTCTCAGGGATGTCCCAGTCTGCCTGGCAGAACCCCCAGATCTGTCCTGGCCTGGCCTGACCAGAAGTTCACACACACGCGTGTGCACACACAAGCACACACGGTGGGGGGCACTCCGATGCTCGTGCACCCTGCCGCGTCCCGGAGACTCACTGTGCCTCCCAGAGCTGGCTCCAGGACACCTGCCGTGGAATCGCGTCCCCACCCCGTGTGCCCTGACAGCGCATCTGGCCCCGCCTGCACTGGCACCTCCCTCCCTGGCCGTTAACGGTCCCAGAATCCTGCCCTGATGCATCCTCTGTCTACTGTTCTCCTCCAGGGCAAGCTGGGGCGCATCGGGCCTCCTGGCTGCAAGGGAGACCCCGGAGCCCGAGTAAGCACCTCCGCCATCCTCCTTAAACCTCAGCAGGCAGGGAGGGCAGCCGCCAGCTGCCGCGGGACGCTGACCATCATCTGAGCTCAGATCCTGCCCTAGACCAGCCCCTCCCCTGCCTGGCCCTGACCCCAGCCCAGGGTTCTCGGGGTCACAGCGTGACGGGACACCCATAGGAGCTTCCAGGTTGTGGCCCTGAGACCCCAGCGTTCCTGGAGCTTTGGAGCCGTTGGCTGCTCCTTTTCTGGGCTAGGGGCCTTGAGGTGCAGGTGGGAGGTACCTCCGAGGCCCAGATAATGGGGACTTGCGGCCCCTGCTCCACTGTCAGCTGGCCCTGGCTCATGGGGAGAACTAAAGCTGACCCAGGGACAGCCCTGGCAGGAGCCACAGGACACCACCCTCACCTTCTCTCTCAGGGCCCTGACGGTTACCCAGGGGAGGCAGGGAGCCCGGGCGAGCGAGGAGACCAAGGAGCCAAGGTAGGGACCTCGCCAGGTGCGGCCGGACAGACATGCTGGGCCTCTGCGGGCGTGGACAGCCCAGCAGAGGGCGCCTGGACCCCACATCTGGTCAGGCAGGAGCAAAGGGCCATGGGGTGCCCAGGGGCCTGTAGGGTGTCCCCCCAGCCTTCACCAGCTCTTGCCCACTCAGGGGCTGTGCACTGGCACCTGGGGCAGCTCTATGGCAGCCCAAACAGGCCTCGGGAGCAAGTCCACCTGTCCTCAGACCAAGCCACCAGGAGCCCCAGCCGAGACTTTGGGGTGCTCCCTGAGGGAAGGCTCTCGGCGCCCTGGGGGTTCCACCCTCTTAGGCTACCTGAGGTGTCACTTTGTCCCTAGCTGCTCCAAGACCCTTGAGAGACAGAAAGAGCAGCCTTTCCTACAGGAGGCCTCGCACTCAGACCCAGTGCTGCCACTTCCTGTCCACCTCCCCTTGGACCCCAAACCCCTGTCAAGGAACAGCATCTGATAGTCACCTGTGCAGCCGCACAGGGATCCTGCCCTGACTCGTGCTCGGCTAAAGGCTGGTGCAGAGGCTCTGTTGGCAGCCCTGCTGGCGCCTGGCACCCCGGGGCTCCGCAGACCTGGGAGGAGGCGCATGCCCCCAGCCCGCCCCCAGGGTCCTGCACCTTGTGTCCCTGCTTCGCAGCAGAGGGCTGATTTCTGCAAACCCTTCTAGGGGGACGCTGGCCGCCCAGGACGCAGAGGGCCCCCAGGGGATAGCGGGGCCAAAGGAAGCAAGGTGAGGCCTGCACCTGTGTCTGCGGCAGAGCCCAGGCACGCTCGCTGCCCCTGCGGGGATGGACGGCTGCACTGCTCCCTGTTCTCACCAAGGGCTCCCCACTGGGCCCCACAGTGTGGGGTGGGAAGGACTGGCTGTGTGCGCCAAGCACAAGCAGCCCCTCTGACGGGTGCCTCCTCATGAGGCTGTCCCAAATGCTGAGGGGCACATGCGGGCGCCCCCCACACCCCAAGCAAACAGGCTCCACTGGAGGATGGCAGGGGCTGGCTGGGTGTGACTGTTCCTCTCGGCCGCGGTCCCTGCTCCGGGCACAGCTGGATATTCTCCCTCGGCAGGGGTATCAAGGCAACAACGGAGCCCCAGGAAGTCCCGGCATGAAAGGAGCCAAGGGCGGGCCTGGGCCCCGCGGACCCAAAGGCGAGCCTGTGAGTTCACACTGGCCCCCACAGGCACCTGCAGAGCCTGGCAGCAGGTTCCAGAAAGGGCCGTGGGTGAATGGCACTTAGGTGAATGGCACTCAGGAGGGGCTGGACCTGTGTTGGCCCCAGGGCTGAGCGTGGAGATGAGGCATGTGGGGTGGTAGGGCAGTGGAGGGCACAGGTCGCACACAGCGTCCCACACCAGCTGACCCCGGGGATGTCCTGCCACAGGGCAGGTGGGGGGGCAGTCCCACAGCTGATTCTCCAGGTGATTCCCACACAGCGCAAGGATGAGACCTGGCCTGGGAGGAGACCCAGGCTGGGTTCCAATCAGGCCAATTAGATGTCAACCTGTCCGGGACGTACCTGGCCAGGACCCCCCCATCCCCCATCATTCCTAAATCCTCAACTGAGACAAAACTGACCTGAAAAAGAACAAGGGTCTAGGACAGAGCCCCCAGGTCCAGGCTGAGGCCATGGAAGGGGCCAGGCCTCAGGGTCCCCAGACTCCAAAGTCCTCCTGGGGGGACAGAGTGTCAGGTCTCCAGAGCAGCCAGCGTGCCCCACCCCCACTCCCGGAGGCTCTAGGCTTGTGACTCACGAGGGCTTTGGGAGCAGCCCCTCCCCCACCAACATGCCTGTTCTCTACAGGGGCGCAGAGGAGATCCTGGAACCAAGGGCGGCCCTGGCAGCAATGGCCCCAAGGGAGAGAAGGTGAGCCACCAGCGTGGAGGAGCTGCAGTGGAGGGCACCACTGCCATGTCTGCATCTGCACCCAAGCCTCAACCCCAGACCTGCAGCCCCTTCCCCCTTCTCCCCGCTCCATGACTTCAGAGGCCTCAACCATCTAGGGGGTGTCATGCATACAGGGTCTAGGAAAACGGGGGCAGACAGCGGGATCCCCACTCTCAGCTCCCCACTGCAGGGCCTGGAGGTCACTGCCCATCCCAGGCACACCATCATAGCTGAGCAGGCTGCGTACTGCCCAACCCGCAGTGCCCCCACCACAGACACACACCCCACAGCTGTCACAGCTCTCAAAGAGGATGCTGAAGCGGCTTTGTGGCAAAATCTACGGCCACCAGTTCCCTTCAAGATGAGGGTGAAGGGGCTTCCTCCCCTCAGAGGTGGGTGGGGTCCCTACCCATGTTGTGTGTGGTCTCAGTGGGACTATAAGGCCAGGTGGTCAGAAGTGGTGGCTGCAGGCACAGGGGGCCGCAAGACACTGCTGTTCCAACGTCACTCTCCACACACGGGGTCTTCCTCACCAAGGAGCTAAATGACCCCCTCCCATGACCCCCACCCTGCACACCCCAACCACACCACCTCTCAGGTGGGATGCAGACCCAAGTCCCCAGCTGAGACCCAACTGGGCCTCTTTTCTCGCAGGGAGACCCTGGCCCTGAGGGGCCTCGGGGTCTGGCCGGAGAGATCGGCAGCAAAGGAGCTAAGGTAAGCGGGAGGGACCCACTGCTCCTCCCGCCCCACGCCCGGAAGGGTGTGGTCGGAGCTGAGGGCCAGGCTGGGTCAGGACTCCTGGGGGGCAGCGGGGGCCTGGACCTGCTCCTCCCCAGACCCTGCTGACCTCCAGGGTTAGTATCGGGGTTTTGGGGTGCCACCGCCAGATGAGAGGCCCCAAACCTCCTCCCCTTTCCTTCCAGGGAGACCGCGGCTTGCCTGGACCCAGAGGCCCCCAGGGGGCTCTTGGGGAGCCCGGGAAGCAGGTCAGTAGCAGGATGCCTGGAGCCCTGTGGCTGGGGCTGGACCCTCTGCCCTTCAGCCTCAGGGTCACTCCCCTATGGTGTCCGTGGTGAGACAGGCTGGCTGCAGTCACTGTCCAGGAGCAAACCCGGGCAGCAGGACCAGGGGCCAAGATCTGCCCCACCACCTGCCCTGCGTACCTGTTTCCATCCCCAGCCTCAGCCCCTGTCCTGCCCTGGAGGGCTTTCCTGGGGCACCTTGCCCCACCCAGGTGGGGGTGGGGGTGGGGGTGGGACAGGGTGGGGGACCTGGGGGCCTGGACAAGCACATGAGGAGGAGCTGGGACCCTCAGGCCCTCAGGAGGCTCTGCTTGCATCCCCCACAGGGCAGCTCAAGGAGCTGGGGGCCATGCTGCCTAATGGTCAGAGCTGGAGGGGGTGAGGCACTTGACACCTGGGCAGTTGGTCCCCATCTGTGCTGACTCCCTGATTTCTCTCCTGCCCTCAGGGATCTCGGGGAGACCCTGGTGATGCTGGGCCCCGCGGAGACTCGGGACAGCCAGGCCCCAAGGTACAAGAGGGTGCTGGCTTCGGGGAGCCTGCGCCTCTGTCCTCAGCTGCAAAGTGAGGCTGCTGGGAGCAGGCCCAGCCCAGCCCTGTGGAGGACACGTTGGAGCACCAGGCAGCCCCCTCATCCTTCTCCCTCAGCACCCACCCTCGGATGGGGGTGGCATGTCCTTTCCGAGGCAGGGCCCTGAGGGGTGGGCGGCCACGCAGGAGGCCGTGTGTCTAGGCATCATCTCTCCATGTGTGGGCAGTGGCTCCTGGTCCTCTCTGCACATAGAGCCCCCAACTCAGACATGGGAAGGGCAAGTTTGGCCCCGTGTGCCTCCCAAGCCTCAGCCCCACCCCGTCTTCAGTTCATAGCACCCAACTCAACCTCTTCTTCCAGGGAGACCCTGGCAGGCCTGGATTCAGCTACCCAGGACCCCGAGGAACACCCGTGAGTCATGGCGTGGGACGGGGGCTCCCAGGAGGGGGTGGACGTTGTCAGGAGAGCGCAGGAGGTCCCCAGCTGCTCGCTTGAGGCCTCCTCTTTGGGAGAAAGTGTGAGGCTCCTCCTACGGGATGGGGAGGAGAAGCACAGGGGTCACTCAGGGCACAGGCAGGTCTGGCCAGCCACCGGGAGACACCATGAGGTCAGTGGCCTCAGACCTAGCCCAGTGTCAGGAACAGAGTGTGGATCAGAGCAGGCAGGCAGCCTGGCGCTCAGCGCAGGTGTGCGTGAGCATTTCTGAGACTTCTGTAACCAAGACCACTGGTGAGGAAGGCGGACGGGCTGCAGGAAGTCTCCAGCTCCCGGGGCGTCCACTTCCCCATCCCGGGCTCAGAACCAGGGGTTGGAGCGTTGGGTTGTGCATGAGTCACCCTGACCTTTGATTGCTTCACAGGGAGAGAAGGGCGAGCCCGGCCCACCTGGACCCGAGGTATGTGCAGGCCCTGCGCCCACCAGAGGGGGGTGGTGGTCTGTGCGTCCCCCAACTCCCTGCTTCCCAGGCCTTTGCCGGCTGTGGTGGCAGCAGAGGCCACATCCTAGTCCCTTTCAAACCAGAAGTCAGGGCTTTCCTGAAAAACCACATAAATGTTGCCACTTAATAGACACTGAATTGCCAGACATGCGCTTTTCCTGATGGAGAGCACGTCCACCTAGGAGGGTCAAGAAACAAAGACCCCTCTGCTCGGCTAACGTGTGTTCCTCCCACAGGGCGGCCGGGGCGACTTCGGCATGAAGGGAGCGCCTGGGAGGAAAGGCGAGAAGGGAGAGCCTGTGAGTGCCCGAGAGCCCACCTGAGAAGGGGCGGCCGGGCTCGGGGCCTCACCCCCACCCCAACCCCAACTCCCAGCAGCCTCTCCTCACTCAGGCAGGGGCCGTGGGGTGGGGGGAGAACAGACTCCCCCACGTGCAGGGACCCTTCCCAGGGTGGTTGCTGAAGCCACCTGCCCTTGCTCTTTCTCAGGCGGATCCTGGTCCCCCTGGTGAGCCGGGCCCTCGGGGGCCAAGAGGAGTCCCAGGACCCGAGGTAGGCCAGTCACCAGCCCTTGCCCCTCAGACCAAGATCCCCGCCAGCCAGGCCAGCCCACCATGTGCAGTGGGCAGCAGCCTGGGGACAATGTGGCCCTGCCCAGCCTCATGGCCATCCTCCCTCCCCAGGGTGAGCCCGGCCCCCCCGGAGACCCCGGCCTCACGGTAGGTGTCACATGGTGTGAAATCTGCATCCTGGCTTGGAAGTGTTGTTTTTTCTACTAAAACCCAGAAACCAAGGGCGGGAGGGGGGGCAGTGCTGAGGTCAGAGGTCAAAGTAGGGGAGGGTGGGACCCCTGCCTCCTTCCTGCGGCTGCACTCCTCACATGGACAGGGACGTCTGCCCCATGTCCCGGGCAGGGGGCTCTGTGGAGACTTCCCCAGGCCTGCTGCCCTGGCCCTGCGGGGGTCTGCTCACCGGGCCTGGGCCACAATGACGTGTCTTGCAGGAATGCGACGTCATGACCTATGTGAGAGAGACCTGCGGGTGCTGCGGTGAGTGTGCCCACACAGGTCCAGGGCCCACCAGCGGTGGAGATGCTGAGTGCATCTGGGGGTGGGGGTTTCTCGTGGCCCCTCCCCCAGCACCCCCCCGCTGATGCCGTCCCACCCCCCAGACTGTGAGAAGCGCTGTGGAGCCCTGGACGTGGTGTTCGTCATCGACAGCTCCGAGAGCATTGGCTACACTAACTTCAGCCTGGAGAAGAACTTCGTCATCAACGTGGTCAACAGGCTGGGCGCCATCGCCAAGGATCCCAAGTCAGAGACGGGTGAGCCGCACCGCAGAGGTGTGGGTGGGTGGTCTTGGCACAGCAGGGCAGGGAGATGGGGGAACGCAGAAGTCAGATGCCCCCTTTAGAGAGAGCTTAACTCTGAGCGGTTCCGAGACCCTGCATTTGAGGGTGGGCTTCGGCCATGCCCTCATGCTGCACACGTGGTCTGCAGGGACCCGCGTGGGCGTGGTGCAGTACAGCCACGAGGGCACCTTCGAGGCCATCCGGCTGGACGACGAGCGCATCAACTCCCTGTCCAGCTTCAAGGAGGCCGTCAAGAACCTCGAGTGGATCGCGGGCGGCACCTGGACGCCCTCTGCCCTCAAATTCGCCTACAACCAGCTCATTAAGGAGAGCCGGCGCCAGAAGACCCGCGTGTTCGCGGTGGTCATCACAGACGGGCGCCATGACCCACGGGACGACGACCTCAACCTGCGGGCACTGTGCGACCGTGACGTCACGGTAACAGCCATCGGCATCGGCGACATGTTCCATGAGAGGCACGAGAGCGAGAACCTTTACTCCATCGCGTGCGACAAGCCACAGCAGGTGCGCAACATGACACTCTTCTCTGACCTGGTGGCCGAGAAGTTCATCGACGACATGGAGGACGTGCTCTGCCCGGGTGAGGGCGCTGGACTCACAGCGGGGGCTGGAGGAGGAGCCCTCTGGGAAGGGGCTGGGGCTGGCACAGAGGGGCTGAGACTGACTGTGGCCCCCGGCCCCGTTCTTCTCTTCTAGACCCCCAGATCGTGTGCCCAGACCTCCCCTGCCAAACAGGTAACACCAGAGCCCCTGAGCCCTCCACCCCAGAATGGCAGAGCAGCCCTGGTGTCCTTCCTCTCACGTGGCCAGGACTGGGGTGGAGGGATTTGTGGGGACCCCTGAGGTGGTGCCACTGTGGGGCCGTTCCTCAGTGGGACAGCCTTGAGATTTGCATCCCAGGAGCCTGAGTACAGTAGAGGAGGGGACTCAGGGAGGGGTGCTCCTGGCGTTGCAAGGATGGCATCGTGAGCCCTTTGCCACCTCCAAAGTGGTGGGGCTAGTACTGCCCATGGCACTCAGCCGCTGGTCTTGAAGGCGGTTCCACAGTCCAGGGAGGCCCAGCCGTGGGCCTTGCGGTCTCCCCACCTCCAAGAGAGACGCGCACACCAGGGCCGTCCAGCTCCGCGGGCTGAGCTGTGCACTCGGTCGTCAGGAGGAAGCGCGGGATTCGGTAAACAAAATAGCCGACTTAAAACCATCCCAGAGGCCACAGTGCGCACTGACGCACCTGCTCCACCCCTGTCTGCCTCAGCGCTGTTGTCTCTGGAGCAGAGGCCAACTCACTCGCGGGAGCCTGTGTCCCACACAAGGCTGTATTTGTGGCCCATGTGGCTGCGAGGCTGGAGCTAGGGGAGCCCCAGGGCAGGTGCCCAGGTCTGGGGAGGGGGAAGGAGGGGCTGGGGGACATCATCCGCATGGCACTGGACACTGTTGCTGCCTCGTCCACCACAACTACTGCACAGTGACTGGGTCCCAGGGGCTATGGGGCCCACAGGAAGGGGCTCTAGGGGCCTCAGGAGCTCAGATCCCCCTCGGGGAGCCCTGTCCCCTCCCAGGAGCATTGAGGTAGGAACCTGGAGCCAGCTCTAGGAGGTGGGGCTACCATGGAGACAGGGTGGGGTAGACAGGTCCAAAGTGGGGGACCACAGTTGGCAACCCTGAGAACACGCGTGATCTGGGTTTGTGCTCAGGTACTCCGGGAAAGGGCTCCTCGTGTGGATAAGTCAATCCTGCTGAGCATATCACAGGCACTGAGACCACCCAAGAGAGGGAACTATGTGGATTTGGTGTCAGGTCCCCAAACCTATTCTGACAAAGAACTTTCCCAGAAAACACCACTCGTGGTTGTACCCCAAGGCCACACTACAGCAGGGGTCACCCCAGGAGACACTGGAGGCCTGCCCTGGGCCTCAGCCGCCCTCCCACACAGAGTTGGCAGCTATCTGGTGCTCAGAGACACCCAGAGCCCATGATGCTGGCCTGAGGGCATCTGCCCTCATCTCTGCCAAAGGTGAGGGGCTGGGGTCTGCACTGAGACCCCACCAACCATGGCCCCCTCGTGTCCTGGATCCGAGGCCCTGCAGTGGGCTGCAGCGTCTGTGCCTACCCTGCAGGGCACCTGAGTCCTCCAGAGCCAGCTGGGTCTATGCAGGGTGGGGGCGTCCATGCTGCCACGTCAGCGCCATACTCAGCTTGACCATACCCTGGCCCTGGTGCTGAGACCCAGCCTCCCCACCTTGCTCCGATCCGAGGCCCTGCAGTGGGCTGCAGCGTCTGTGCCTACCCTGCAGGGCACCTGAGTCCTCTGGGTCTATGCAGGGTGGGGGCGTCCATGCTGCCACGTCAGCGCCATACTCAGCTTGACCAGACCCTGGCCCTGGTGCTGAGACCCAGCCTCCCCACCTTGCTCCTGAGCATTCTGTAGCGTCTTTATCAGGTGGGGAAGAGCCCCTCCCCCTGCTCTGCTGAGACTTTTTATAACGAGTGTGTTGGGCTGTGTCACACACTTTTTCTGCGTCTGCTGATGTGATCACGTGGCTGTTCTTCTGTGGCCTGTTGATGGGGTGGATCACAGCCGTTGATCTTCGAAGGTTGGGCAAGCCTTGCATGGCACGATAGATCCTGCTTGCTCGGGGTGTGTCAGTCTCTCAGGATGTCACTGGATCTGACTGGCTGGTATTTTGCCAGGTATTTTTGCGTGTTTGTGAGAGATATCGGTCTGCATTTTTCTTCCTTGTGATGCCTCCGTCTAGACTTGGAGTCAGCGTGACGCTGGCCTTGGGTCCGCAGTGGCTCCTGATGGGTGGCTCACCCAGGACGGGAGCCTGGGACGAACAGTTTCCACCTCTCTGGGAGCAGGCAGCCTGCTGGAGGTGGTGAAGGCGGGTAGGGAGGAAACGGGGATCTTGGCCCCCTGGTCTCCCCTGAAGCTTCCAGAGGCCCCTTTGGAGACCCCTCCCCTTGTGCTGCAGCTCCTTAACTACCCTCTTTGCTAAACTTGCAAAGCTCATCCTCCTTAAAGCTATTTGAAATTTCAAAGTAAATTAGACCTTGTGACTAGAGGAAGTAAAGCAGATGTGACTGTAGAGCCGGGACTTCTTGTGACTTCTTGTGACTAGAAGATGCCGGGACGAGCATCTTCTGCGGCATTTCTGGGCTGCAGATGGTGCTGGGGGAGCCATGCGCCCTGACCTGGCCCTGACCTCCTAGGCCCAATAGCCCCATCCACGCAGAAGTGCAGCCACCTGGGCTTGGACACCTGGGATGGTGTCGATGTGTCGAGAAGCAAGCAAGGCCCAGGCACAGGCTGGAAAAATGGATTTTATTCAGGAACAACAATGGCAGGAGGGAGAGACTCCAGCGTAATGGGAGCAGGCTCAGCTCACAGGAGACGTTTTAGAGGCGGGTCTGCCTGGGGAAGGCACTGGTCGCTGCAGTGGGGCCTCCTGGGTTTGCTCACTGGTGCTCACCCGGGGGAGAAGCAGAGAGAGAGCTGTGAGCCTGGGCACTCGCATCTCAGAGCTGCTCTCAGATCCTGGAGGAGACAGTTGTGGGAGGCTAAAGAGTCCTATCTCAAAGGGGCAGATAAAGGGTTTAGAGCTGCAGGCTTTCCCAGGCGGGAAAAGGATCACGTTTAAGGGGGCCTGGGGTCTTCTGGGGACAGGGCCTTGAGCTGCTGGAAGCCATGCTAGGGTTTGGTCATGCTTCTCAGTGCAGGGTTTGGAGCAAGCCATTTTGTTTTTTTTGTTTGTTTGTTTGTTTGTTTTCCTTTTTTTTTTTGTCTTTTTTACTGACTGGTAACGGGATCACAACCCTTGGTGTCACGCCCGCACCGCGCTCAGCCAGTGAGCGGGAACCGGTCTCCACATGGGATCCGAACCCTCGGCGGGAACGCCGCCGTGCTCTCAAGCGGCGCACTCTCCAGTGCGCCACCGGGCCGGCCCAAGAGCAAGCCATTTTGTGACGAGAGTTTTTCTTAGGGTCTTTGGTGTCCCTGGAAGGTGCTGTGTGCTCCAGTCTCCTGGGCAATGTCGCTTGCTGCCAGATTCCCAGCCCCCCACCCCACCTCCTGACGAGGCCATGGCACGGGCCCCACCGCATCTGCTTGGCATTTCCGCCGTGCTGCCCCTCCTGGGGCCTAACTGCCACTCCTCGCTTTGGTCCTAACTTGGTCACACCCACCCAAGCCCCTTAAAGTCTTCTCTGGACACTCCCTTGCAGATGCACCACGGCCAAGCGGCGAGCCCCTGGTCACCTTCCTCCGCACGGAAGAGGGGCCGGATGCCACCTTCCCCAGGACCATCCCCCTCATCCAGCAGTTGCTAAACAACACGGAGTTCACACAGGACCCTGCCGCCTACACCCAGCTGGTGGCCGTGCTGGTCTACACCGCCGAGCGGGCCAAGTTCGCCACGGGGCTCGAGCGGCAGGACTGGATGGACCTGTTTATTGATACCTTTAAGCTGGTGCACAGGGACATCACAGGGGACCCTGAGACCGTGCTGTCACTCTGCTGAAGCTGGGGCCCCCGCGCATGCGTGGAAATGTCAGAGCTGGCCCCTCGCCCCACTGTGTGAGCTTCGCAGGGCTACCTACCACAAACGGGGGCTCAGGACAGCAGGGCATTACCCTCCCACAGTCTGGAGGCCGAAAGTCCAGAATCAAGGTGTCATCAGTGCTGGGCTCGTTGCAGAGTCTGGGGGCGAGGGTCCTTCCTGCCCCCTCCAGCTCCCGGTGGCTGCCGCATTCCTAGGCTTGTGGCCACATGGTTCTAGTCTCTGCCTCATTTTCACATGACGTTCTTCTCTTGGTGTCTCTCTGTGTCCTCTCTGGTTATTAAGATGCCAGCCATTGAGTTTAAGGCCCACCCTAAATCCAGGATGATCATATCTCAAGAGCTTAACTGAATCTCACCCGCAAAGTCCTCCTTTGCCAGGCATCCTTCCCAGGCCCCAGGGATGTCTTGGGGGTCGTTGTTCAGCCGATCACACCCCCACAGTCCAGCTGAGCTGTCAGGCATTTGGGGATGCTGGTGAGGGAGGAATGTGCCATGTGCTAGGGGATGTCCCCCTGCCTGGTTCTGGTTGAGCCTCAGAGATGTTCCCAGAGGCTGTGACAGCCTGGCTGCAGGTGTCGGCTTTGACTCTGCATGCAGTGACGTGTGTGCTCATGACCCTCAGGGAGCTGCAGGGAGGTGACTGGGGGTTGGGCAGCGATGGCCCTTGTGGGGACCTGGTGGTCCTGATGCCAAGATGCATTGGAACCAGCATTGCACCCATTAGGGAAAACTGCCAGGGCCACGACCACCATACCCCAGTCCTCCGGCGTCTTTTTCCTTTCACCCAACCTCTGGGTATCCACAGACATGGGAAGGGGGCGGCAGGGACGACCCATCGCCAAGACGCAGCCCCCTGGAGCCAGCTCTCTGAGTGCAAGGAACCTGTTCGGGGCCTGGGCTGCGTCGCTGCTCCTGCCTGCGCATCCCTCCGGCTCAGGGTGGGGTCGTTTCTCCAGGGCAGGGGCGGGCCACGCTTCCTGCTGTGGGGGATCAGCGGCAGGAGCAAGGACCCCCCCAGTAGGACAGAGCAGAGCCCGTGGCCTCCCTGGTCACCAGCCCTGTGGGTGTGGGTGCACTGAGGAAAACTCCCCCAAACCTCCGCCCTACTGCAGGTCTGTCCTGTGTTTGTGGTGACAACAGTGAACATGTCTGTTGACTCTTGGGCTTGGGAAGTCCTGTGTTGCCTGAGAACTCACGGGGCACTTCGGCAGGCCCCAGCCGCAAGTCCCCAGACCCAAAGCTGCTCTTTCTTTGCGCCAAATAAGCTGCGTCGTCAATAAGCTTGCTAAAGAAGAAAGCTGTCCACCCACGAGCGCCGCCCAGGGCACGTCTGCAGGTGTGGCGAGGGGGCCGCAACACTCTATAAAACCTGAACGTGTAAAGTGCATGCGTGGCTGTGGTCAGTGGCGTGCTGGGTCTTCTCGCCTGCCCTGGGTTGAGCTGTCGAAGACACCTGAGGGGTGAGCACCTGGCCCCAGGGGTGGAGGTCCTCGGTCAAGCATGCCTAGGGTCAGAACCCTGCTTCCAATGGGAATCCCAGGGTCAGCATTCCCAGGCAATGACCACGTCTGGGAAGTGGGCTGAGGACACCCGTGGGGGGCCAACCTGTCCCCTATCTCAGCAGCCAAGGTCCTGGGCAAGGCTGTAGAGGGAGGGCCCGGCCCTGCCACATGTCCATGGTGTGTGGGTGAGCAGCATCCCAGCCCATGGTCTCTGGCCCCACGTGGTGCCCACGTGTATAGTGGGTGGCCTCTCCTTGGCCCTGGCTGCAGCCCCCCTCCCACGCTGTCCAGCATGTCCAGGGCTGGTGACCGCCCAGACAGGAGAGGGGTTGGACTGCACCTATGCCCACTGCCCAGTGAAGCCATGGCCAGTCACCGAGGACACAGGCTCCTCGTCTTTCTGGGAGAGATGTGGCCCGGCCAGCTTCAGGGCTGGAGGGCAGCGGTGCAGGCAGGCAGCCCTGAGATGGGGTGAGTGAGGGGGTCACAGCAGGAGGTGTCAGCACCAGGGTCTTTGTGAGGCCCCTCCCCCACACACAGATCATGGTTCTTTTGTGAGTAGTAAATTCTTGTGCCAATAGAAGGTGCTTTTATGTGCCTGGAGGATGCCAGCCTGAGCCAAGATGGTGCTTAACAGGTGGAAACTGGGCCCCCTGGCCTCTGATGGGGCCTCCAGCCCTCGGGTTTAAGGCCATTTCCTGGTGGAAGGACAAGCCAGGGAGACACTGGTGGGTCCTAGGAGATGGGGTGACTCACCGGCCACATGCCTGGTGGAGCTTTGGCGGGTGCCTGGCTGAGGACTCCCACACCTGGGGCCGCTCTGATGGGGGCTCCCGCCAACTGTGACTTTGGGTCCACGGGTCCAGTGGGTGGGGTGTGTGTAAAGGGAGGGGCGCCAGGTGTGGCAAGAGCGGGCATCTGTCACCCGGGGTCCTGCCCCGGCCGCCCCTCAGGCCCCAGCCTGCACCCACTACGAATCTCACCCCCCAGAGCTGTACGTGGCCCAGTGCACGCAACGGCCTGTGGACATCGTCTTCCTGCTGGACGGCTCTGAACGGCTGGGTGAGCAGAACTTCCACAAAGCCCGGCGCTTCGTGGAGGAGGTGTCACGGCGGCTGACGCTAGCACGCCAGGACGACGACCCTCTCAACGCCCGCGTGGCCCTGCTGCAGTATGGCAGCCAGCGTGAGCAGCAGGTGGCCTTCCCGCTGACCTCCAACCTGACGGTCATCCAGGAGGCACTGGACGGCGCGCGCTACCTCAACTCCTTCTCTCACGTGGGCGCAGGCATCGTGCACGCCATCAACAACATCGTGCGGGGTGCACAGGGCGGGGCGCGCCGCCACGCTGAGCTGTCCTTTGTGTTCCTCACGGACGGCGTCACGGGCAACGACAGCCTGGAGGAGTCAGTGCACTCCATGCGCAAGCAGAACGTTGTTCCCACTGTGGTGGCTGTGGGCAGCGACGTGGACATGGATGTGCTTACCAAGATCAGCCTGGGTGACAGTGCTGCCATCTTCCGCGAGAAGGACTACGACAGCCTGGCCCAGCCCGGCTTCTTTGACAGGTTCATCCGGTGGATCTGTTAGCGTCCCTGCCCCGCTGTGCCCGCCGAGGCCCCTCCGCCTGCCCATCTACAGCCCCTTGTCCACCTCCTGTCCATGGTGCTAACCAGACCCAGCCCAGCTGGTCCAAGCCAGACTCCAGACTCAGGGTCTCTCCCACTAGCCGGAGCGCCTTCTCACAGGGTGGAGGCCGGTCTCACTCGGAGGAAATCGGGAGGGGGAGGACCCCACACCCAAGGCCTACCTGCCCTCCTCCAGCTCCCCCCTGAGGTCCCCACGGCCCCTGGCAGCCCAGATAGCTGAGGCCCCCTGCCCAGCTCCCCATCCTCCCACGCCCCGCCCTCAACTCCCTCCACCGGCCCTGGAGGCTTCCAGATGCCCACTCTCCAGGGTACACCAGGCCTCAGACGCGCGACAAGCCACCCGCTGTCCCAGCCCCTTGGCCTCCCGTGCTCCTGCCTCACCCTGTGCTCGGCACCTGCCCCGTAGCCCCTCGCGAAGGCTTTCTCCAGCCACACCAGCCCTCCAGGACTCTGAGCTCACCAGAGCGGCCCTGGGCATCCCTGCGACGCACACACCCCACGGTCCAATAAAGGCTTGAACTGACTCCTGCTTCCAGCTCCTTAATGTCTGTGCCCCACAGGGACCCCCCACCCCAAATGCATCTCATTATGTTCTCCTCCAGCTGGCTGAGGGTACAGGGATGCTCAACCCTTCACACACCAACCAGGACTAGCCATTTCCCATGTTCCCTGGTCCCCCTCCCCTCGTAGGGGCAGGCATTGCCTGGAGGTGCCAGCCATCCCCACCGTCCCCAGGTGTGTAGACTGGACAGCCTCAACCACAGAATCCACCCTGGCCAGGTGGCTTTGGGCTGTAATTGATGCTACTTAATCAATGAACTCTCTCCCAAACCAGCACCAAAGTGCTTTAAGAATGTTTCGTAATTTGTGTGAGGATATTTTGTGAATAGACAGATGATTGATAGATGACAGACAGACAGAGATATTCCATTTCTTATTTTATTGTCTCTGCAATCTCAGCAATTTTTTGATGTTCAGACTACCAGGTCTCCCGGGCTCTGGGAATTGCCCTGTTGACCCGAGGGCTCCTGGGCAGATGCTGCGCTCCCACTGTGCATCAGCTCAGCTGCACACAAGGCACCCTGCACCGAGTGGCCTAAACAACAGGATTTATCATCTCACGGTTCTGAAGGCTGCAATCCAAGATCAACGTGTCAGCAGCCACACTCCCTCTGAAGGCGCTGAGGGAGCATCTGTTCCAGGCCTCTCTCCAGTTTCTGGACGTCCTTTGGCTTGTGGCAGCGTCACTCCAGTCTTCATGTGGTGTTCTCCCTTGTCCAGAGTCCCCTTTTTATGAGGACACCAGTGATGCAGGATTAGGACTCACTCCATGCTATCAGTAGGACCTGATCCTAACTAACTACATCTGCAAAGACCCTGCTTCCAAATAAGGTCACATTCTGAAGGACTGGGGGTTAGGAAGTCACCATGTGAATTTGAGGGAACACAGTTCATCCCATCACATTCTGGTAACTGTTTGTCCCCTTTGGGGGATGAGTGACTCTTTTTTTTCATACTTCTACCTCTCTGTCATCTGACAACTCAGCCTGCAGCTGGTGGGGAGGACGTCGATCATTTTCTCTTCCTCTGCCCTTTCTTCTCTACCCGCAAAGAACCATGCAAAGTGTCTGCAAGAGAACGAGAAGAGACCCACCTGCCCCCTAAGCCCCTGCACCTGAGCTTCAGGCCTCATCACTGTGCTCCAACTGGGAACCTCCCGGGACAGGCAGTTGGAGGAAGGAAGAGCCCCTCAACCCTGCTCCACCCACCAGAGCATAGCCCAAAGCATCCTGCAGAGGGTCCCGCTGGAGGGAAAAACCCTGTCTGTGATGCAAGCCCCTGGGTGTGCAGCCTCTGACCCTGGCAGGGTGGGAACACAGTCCCATGGGAAAAGACTTCAGACACCGGTGAGGGGACATGTGGGGTCCACTCACCAACATCCCCTAAAAAAGGTCTTTACCATTGTCTCTTCACCTACTATCCCACACCAACATACCCACCCAAATGTCGCCTCACCAGTATCCCATCACCAAACTCCTCTCAACAACGTCCACACAACACCCCTCTCACAACATCCCCTCACAGATAACACAACACCAGCATCACCATACAAACATACCCTCACCAACATTCCGTAACCAACATCCCCACACCAACATCCACACACAAAAGTATACCCAAACCAGTCTGCACAGCATTCCTGCACAAACACACCAACATCCCCACACCAACATCTCCCAGAAATATCACTTCACCAACATTCCAGACTAGCATTGCCAGACCTAAATCCCACACAAATGTCCCCTACCACTATCGCCTCACCAACATCCCCACGCCAACAAACCCTAACCAAAATTCTCTCAAAAACATCCCCATACCAACATTTCCAATGAACAACCCACACCAACATCCTTTCACCTAAATTTCCTTACCAATACCCCCACAACAGCAGCTCTCACCAGCATGACCACGTGAACATCCAATCACAACATCCCCTCACCAACACCTTCTCACCAATATCTGCCACCTAAATTTCCTTACCAATACCCCCACAACAGCAGCTCTCACCAGCATGACCACGTGAACGTCCAATCACAACATCCCCTCACCAACACCTTCTCACCAATATCTGTACACGAACATCTCACCAACATCTCATCAACATCCCCAACCAACATCACCAAACCAGCATTCTCACCAACATTGCCAGACCAGCACTCCCACACCCAAACTCCAGACAACACCCATCACCTCACCAAATCTCCTCACCAACCTCCCTCCACCAAATACTGTAACCAAAATTCTCTCACAAATACTCCCACACCAACATTTCTAATGAACAACCCAAACCACCAATTTCACACAAACATCCCAGCCAACATCAACTCACCAACATTTCCTCACCAGAATCCTCCCACAAACGTCCCTGTACCAACATCCCCAACCAACAACACACAATCATCCCTTCACTCACCACCATCCCCTCAGCAACATGCTGTCATCAACATTTCCAAACTGACATCCCCACACCAACATCTTGCCAACATGACCTCACCGACATCCCAAACCAACATTTCCTGACCAACACCCCCTCAGCAACACATCCCCACACCAACACTCCCACACCAATCCCTACACCTTCGTCCCCTCACCAACACCCCATACAATCTTCCTTCATCAACATTGCTCTGCTCACTCGGTCCCATCACTAATCTGCCCTCAGACTGTCCAGGCA